CAAAGCTGCTGTGGGGGACAGGGGAGGGGGTGTGCCATGCCTGAGGCTGGTCCTTGGGGAAGTGCAGGCCTCCCAGCTTCTGCACCCACACGTAGGGGTGGCCCAGCTCTGTCACGTAGTCGCTCAAGGTCACGATGCTGTGGGGGACAACAAGGAAGGGTCATGTCACCCCCAGAGCATCCCCTCACCCTGTCCCACCCCTTCCAAAGCCTCCCTGAGAGGCCAGGGAGGGATGTGCCACGCTGGGAGTGGGGCACTCAGCCCAACCACCCCCACTCACCCCACTTTGTCAAACTGGAACTGGTTGGCCGGGTTGGGGGTTTTCCTCCCGTGGTCTCCTGGGTAGAGGCAGTTGAGGAGGGAGTCTGGGGACAGCAGGTCCCTGCAGGAGGAGAGGAGAGGAGAGGAGAGGTCAGGCAGAAGCAGCCTGGGCTCCATGTCTCTCTGAGGTGGCCACTAAGAGGCCCCAAACCCAGAGAAAGGGATTATGAGCTCCAGGAGTTCAGGACCAGAAGGGCTTTCCCCGAATTCCTCTCCAAAAGATCTGTCTCCACCCTGGTTGGGAAGAAGATGGGAACCACAGGGTACCAACTTCCCAGGAGGCTGCTCCCTCCAGGGCAGTAAAACATGTCTGACTGTATTCCCAAGCCTGACCCAGCACAGTGGGCTGCAGGATTTGGGGTGTGGCTCAAGGCACAGCCTCCCTGGTTTGGGGTGACACAGCCAAGGGCAGCAGGAGGGAGGGAACGACCCAGACAGGAACTTGAGCTGCTGTCACAGAGGGTTTGGGGAGTCTACAGTGAAAAGAGCACCCCAAGGGGACAGGGAGGCTGCACATGGGATGGGCTGGGAGGCAACACCTGCTTCCAGGTGAGTCCAGACCGGCCTCTCCCATCTCCCTCTTCCTCAGGCACCTCCTCCTGTCCCAGGGAGAGCCACAGGAGAGCTGGCAGCTTGTAGGAGCTCCCTGGGCAGGCTCCCAGAGCTGCCACTTCAGCTGTTCCTCACCCAAACCAGGCTCCAGAGGACTCTGGGGAGCACAGGGAGAGGAGCTGTGTGTCCAGAGCTCAGGACAAGGTGACCTGCGGAGCAGGCAGGGAGGGAGCTGCCAGGTACAGCCTGGGGCAGGGAGGCTCTTCCCAGCTCCTGACAGTTCTGCCAAAGGTTCCCAAACTCCCTGATCCTGGTTTGTCATGGCAGAGGAAAAGGAGGAGGGTGCCCAGGCTGTGCAGGGCTCCTGGATCCCACAGGGCAGAGGGATCCCTGCCCCATGAGCTCCAGGCTGTGGAGGGCTCCTGGATCCCACAGGATCCCTGCCCCATGATCCCCAGGCTGTGCAGGGCTCCTGGATCCCATGGGATCCCTGCCCCATGATCCCCAGGCTGTGGAGGGCTCCTGGATCCCACAGGATCCCTGCCCCATGATCCCCAGGCTGTGCAGGGCTCCTGGATCCCACAGGATCCCTGCCCCACGAGCTCCAGGCTGTGCAGGGCTCCTGGATCCCACAGGCCCCCCAGCCCCCCTTACCCAGCGCTGATGGCCGTGGTCATCTCCATGGCCGTGGTGACCTTGGCCTTCACCGTCATGACGTTGAGGTTCATCAGGTAGTGGAAGGTGAGGTGCAGCACGTTCTCATCTGGGCCAGAGCAGGGAGAGCATTGGTGGGACACCCCCCCCTCTGCTGGGACAGCCAGGGCAGAGGGGCAGTGTGGGAGCAACTGGACCCCCTGGAACCCCGGCACAGTCCCACCAGAGCTTCCCAGGAGGTGTCTGCCAGGCCCAAGACCCCACGAGAAGAGGGAAGCTCCCAACTGGATGGAGGAGCTCCAGGGCAAGGTCACCCCCCGAGCTCGGGAAGGCAGAGCTGATGGACCACCATGGAAGGCTCAGGAAAACCCCTCCACACCCCCAGCTCTCCCTGAGGACCCCAGGGTGCTGCTGGGCTGTCTCTGAGCCCTCACCTTTGCACTTGAGGTCGATGGTGACAGACAGGGGGTGTCTCTTCAGCATCTCCTTGCGCTTGTCGTCCAGCTGCACCCCCAGGGTGGGCCTGCGCCGCTTCTGGGGTGAGGAACAGCTCTCAGAGCCTTCTCTTGCTCCTCCCCAGCCCAGGACCCCCCCCTTCCCACCCCACTGCTCTTTCCTTCTCCTTCAGTCCCCCAAAATCCTGGTGTCACAGCCCCAGAGCTGCCCCGGGGAGGGAGGGCAGCAGGAAACCCTCGCCCAGCTCTGGTTCCTGTCGTTCCTTCAGCTCCCAGGAGCATCCCCACCCCTGGGACACAGAGCCAAGGGCCTGCTGGCCCCAAGAGCTTCCCCACTGCAAGGGGCAGGTCCCAGAATCACAGAACTGTTCAGGTTGGGAAAGATCCTTCAGATCATCGAGTCCAACCATCCCCCAGCTCTGCCAAGGCCACCACTGACCCATGTCCCCAAGTGCCACATCCACAGGGATTTTAAATTCCCCTAAGGGATGGGGACTCCACCCCTGCCCTGGGCAGCTGTGTCAGGGCTGGACAGGCCTTCCGAGGAAGAAATTTCCCCTATATCAACCTTCTGGACCCTCCCTGGCACAGACTGGAGCCTTCCCCCTCCTCCTGTTCCCTTGGTTCCCTTGGGAGCAGAGCCCGACCCCCCCTGGGCTCCCCCTCCTGTCAGGGGGTTCAGAGCAGAAGCGTCCCCCTGAGCCTCCTTTTCTCCAGGATGAGCCCCCCCAGCTCCCTCAGCCCCTCCTGCTGCTCCAGCCCCTTCCCAGCTCCGTTCCCTTCCCTGCACACAAGGCCCTTCCCTTTTCTCTTCCCCCCAGGAACAGCCCAACACACCCAGTGCTCTGCCACGTGGTGGGAGTGGAGGCCTAGACCCCCCTCAGGCTTTGATGTTGGGGGCAACCAGCACCTCCAGCCTCTCCCCAGCATCCAGCAGGAATTATCTGCAGGATGAGCACTTCCTTGAGGGAGTGCTGAACAACCCCTGGTGCAGAGAATGCTTTTGGCAGGGGATGGACAACAGATCCCTCCCTGTTGGACACCAGCTCCCTGCCCTCAGGCTATTTATACAAAGTGGAGCAGCTCCATCTGGGATGTGAGTGTGGTGGGACACACTGGAGCAGCTTTGCATCCTGGCTCTCCTGCATTTAGGACAGAAACTGGGAAATGGCACCTCCCTCCTGCTGAGAAACGTCTGGATTTAACACCAGTGCCCCTCCACACACACTCAGGGCATGCAGCACCAGCCCCCAGCCCCACCCAGGCCCAGCTCTCCCAGCAGGTGCCAGGACCCCGAGGCAGCAGGACCCAGAGCTGTCCCTCACCGTGGTCTGCTCCTCCTCCGCGTCCGAGTCGCTCTCGTCGTCTGCACAGAGAGAGGGGGGTGAGCAGGGACCACCCAGGGCTCAGTTCTCCCCCCACCAGCCCCTTCTCCAAGGGATGCTCCCCCAAACATCCCTCTCCCAGCAAAAGCAGGGGTTCAGGAACTGCAGACATGCAGGAACACGTCCCCCAGTCAAACCTCAAACTCACCCTGCGAGTCCTCGGGGGGCTTGTACAGGGCCTTGGCCTCCTCCACGCTCCCTTCGATGGCCACCACCAGCTTCTTGTCTGCAGGGGACACAGGAGGACTGGGCTAGGGATCACCCTTCTGCTGGGAAAGGCAGCCCTGCCCCCAAAACTCCTGCTTCCTGCCAGGGAAATCTCCAAGAAAAGGTCAGTGAGAAGAGCAGTTGTCTGGAAGGTTCCGTGGGGCCACCACAGGGCTGGATGTCCTGGGCAGGATGGGGGCAGAGGAAGGAAGATGCTGGGTGTTGAGGAGCTCTCCCTGGAAACCATGGAGGCCAAACCCTTATCAGGAGCCAGGAGGGACTGGGGTCTGGCTGGCACAAGCAGGGATGAGGAGCAATGTCACCACGGCTGTGGATGCCTCTGCCACAGTGCCCTTCCATGTTCCCCTGCTCCCAGAGCAGCATCACAGCAGGTGACACCACATCCCTCTCCATCCACACAGCCCACTGGGATTCCTGACCCTTCCAGTGAATCCTTCCCAGCTCAGGAAGCTCCAGAAAGCCCCTCAACACACGAAGCTTCCCGAGGGGATGAAAGCTTCCAGATGATCTGTGGGAAAGGCACCCCCTGCCCTGGAGTCCCCACCAACCACGGGTGGCACGAGGTGTCAGCTCTGGGGAGGCTGGGACAGCACTGAGCCAGCTCCCAGGCTGCAGGGACATCCCTGCCGACCTTGGGAAGGGGGGAAGGGGTGGGAAGTGAGCTTCCCAAGCAGTTCTCCCAGGCAGGCAGCTGAGCCAACAAGGTTTCAAATGCTGCTGCCTCACTGCTCTGGCCATGGGGCCCCCCGGGCTCAGCACAATCCCACAGCACATGGGCTGCAAAGACTGCCCCAGAGCGGTGATTCCTGCAAGCAGGAGTGAAATCTGGCCCGTGGGGTGATCCCAAACCCCTCTCCAAGGGCCGTGTTCCCCCTCTGGGCTCACCACAGGCCTGTCCGTAGGCGCTGGCTTGGACAAAGAGGACGTAGAGGGGCGGCGGGAGGTGCCGGGCGGTCTCGTACTGCTTGTGGGCCTGGTCGAAGGGCATGAACAGGTATTCCTGGACAGGCAGGGAGGCCTGGGAATGACAGGGACGGCCTTCAGCACTGGGAAGGGAGCAGCTCATCCTCCTCACCCCCTCCCGAGCCAGTGGGAGATGGAGCCAGCACCGGGTTAAACACCACGGGCACGGCGAGCCCCAGGGAAGGGCTGGCCTGGCCTCGGCTGGGAAAGCTTTGGAGCTGAAAATAACCCAGTTCCTCCTCCTGTTCTTCCCTCCCAGGGCAGCCTCAGGGGGCTGGAACAGCGTGGGACTCTCCAGGGGAAGGCCCATTTAGGGCTCCTCTGGAATTGCCGCATAAACAAGGAGGCTCCGGAGGGGTCTCGGCACGAGGTGGAGCTGCCCCTCCCCCAGTGGGAATGAAACATCTCCAGATCCAAATCCAAAGCAGCCCAGGCACTGCCCTTGGGAGCACGACCTCAGCTCAGCCCCCAGGACCTTGTCCCCACCTGCAGAGCTCAGGTACCTGCATGATGCTGTTGAGCCGGGGCTGGAGGCTGCTCAGATATTCCTTCTTCACCTCAATCTCCTTCAGGATCTTCTCCTTGCTGGTCAGGCATTCCTTGTATTTCTCTGCCAGCCTGGGGGTGGGAATTCTGTTACTGCCACACGCCAGAGCTGCAAAACCTGCCAGGAGCCACCTGGGTGACAGGCCCCAGCTCTCACAGGTCACTGTAGGAGAGCTCAGACACGGGACAAACAACTTGCTCCTAATGCCAAGGGCAAGTGGAGGAAGGAAGGAACTGAGCAGAGATGGAAAACGAACAAGGAAACAGAGGGGAAGCTCAGCCTCGTGCTCTGAGAAGGGGCAGCAAGTGGAGCTCTGCTCCCACACCAGCCACGACCCCACCGAGCTCCCAGAGAGGCTTTTCCCCTTCCTGGCATGTTCTGTGGTCAAGGACTAACATAGAAAGCCCAGGAAATGGGAGTGAGCTGTTCAGGACAAGCCCCCTCTGACAGGGGACAGACCTGACACTGCAGGACTTGGAAACTGTTTCCAAGCAAAGTTGTATTCGTGGGGGTCAACACACACCCCAACAGGCTCCTGCACAGGATTTGAGGCCCAGTTTTCCCACCCCTCCCCAAAACAGAGCTCCTGAAATCCCTGCACTCCCTCCAGAGGCACCTTGCAGAGGATTCCAAAGCCAATCCAGTGCTCCATGGGGCTGCACAGCTCAAAGCACCAAGGTAAGGGATGGATGGATGTGAATGACCCCAACATGGGAATTACCCAAAGCACCACTGGCACCTGCTCCCGAGCAGCTGGACAGTCCCTGTCCTACCCCAGCAGTGGGAGGTGCACAATGGCATTCCCTGGATACCACGGGGTGAGGACTGGGAATTCCAAGGCATCTCAGCTATCTAACTGTGGGTCTCTACGAGGTTTGCAAAGATCATTTTAATCAGAACCCTCACAGGTCTCCAGCTGAACACCCACCGTGTGTGCCTCAGGCAGAGCCAGCTGGGGGATCCCAGCTGTGCCCTCCAGTGGGAAAAGCAGCCAGGTTTGAGGGAAGGGTCTGGGAGAGGGGAAGCACGAGGGGCTGGAGACACCCAGCACCCACCCAGCACCTCTGCTCTGCTGGGCTGCCCTCAGGCAGCACCGACGGGCACATTCCATGAAGGATCTTTCCAGAAGGCTGGCCCTGGACGCTGCCTGACTGCTCTCCAAACACAGGAGTGCTGGGTCATGTTTGCTTTTCCCACGGGGCAAGAGTCAGGGAGCAGCTGAGCCCCAGGACAGTGTGACAGGGGGGATGTTTGGCAGCAGCTCCAGCCGTGCCGAGCCAGGCTGGGCTCCTTCAGCTCCTTGCAGATGGAACAGGGATCATCAGGACATGAAAGAAAACTCCCTGACCTGTGGAACAAGGATCACACCAAGCCCAGCTCCACACACAGGGAATCTCCCAGTCACACAATAAATGTGTCACTTGTTCCACACTGACTGAGCCAAGAGGATCAGGTGAAGGTGAAAACCTTCACCCTCCTTGTTTGCTCTCCCAGCAGCTCCAGGTGCCTGCCCAGATCCCTGGAGCAGGGACACTGAGCAGCTCCAAGCTGTGCCAAGCCAGGCTGGGCTCCTTTTGCTCCTTGCAGACAGAACAGGGATCATCAGGCAGTGAAAGAAAACTCCCTGACCTATGGAAAAAGGATCCCACCAAGCCCAGCTCCACACACAGGGAATCCTGAGCCAAGGGCTCAGCCAAGCAGTAGATGTGTCACTTGTTCCACACTGATCCAAGGGGGATGAACTTTCATCCTCCGTGTTTGCTCTCTCAGCACCTCTGGGTGTCTGCCCAGATCCCTGAATAGGCACATCCAGAAGTTCTGGGTGCCTGCCCAGATCCCTGCAGGAGGGACAGGGAGCAGGGACATCCAGCAGCTCTGGATGCCTGTCCAGAGTCCTGGAATAGGGGCATGCATCAGCTCCAGATGTCTGTCCAGATCCCTGGAGCAGGGACAGGGAGCAGGGACAGGGAACAGAGACATGGACAGGGACAGGGAGCAGGGACAGGGAGCAGGGACAGGGAGCAGGGACAGAGACATGGACAGGGAACAGGGACAGGGAGCAGGGACAGGGAGCAGGGACAGGGAACAGGGACAGGGAGCAGGGACAAGGAGCAGAGACATGGACAGGGAGCAGGGACAGAGACATGGACAGGGAGCAGGGACAGGGACAGGGAGCAGGGACAGGGACATGGACAGGGAGCAGAGACATGGACAGGGAGCAGGGACATGGACAGGGAGCAGGGACAGGGACACCGCTGACCCACCTCTTGCGCTGCTCCAGCTCCCAGTCGAGCCGGGCCAGGGTCTGCTGGTGGGGCTCTGCCAGGGTGATGGCAGGGCGGCTGATCTCAGGGGGGGCCTCTCTGTAGAACTCCTCCAGGCTCACCAGCTCAATCTCCTCGTGTTTGGACCTGCAGGGACAGGTGGATCAGGTCAGGGAAGGGTGGGAAGTGCTGCAGCACAGCCGGACTCAAGGTATCCCACAGGAGAGTGTTCCACTGGTGCTTCCTGCCCCAAATTCCCTCTCTGTGAACCACCCCCAACAGTGAGCTGAACCTGCTTTCTCCTCCACTGTCTGTGGACAGAGCCCGTAAAGGGGCTCCAAGAGAGCTGGAGAGGGACTGGGGACAAGGGATGCAGAGACAGGACAGGGGGAAATAGCTTCCCACTGCCAGAGGGATATTGGGAACGAATTCCTGGCTGTGAGGGTGGTGAGACCCTGGTACAGGTTGCCCAGAGAAGCTGTGGTTGCCCCATCCCTGGAAGTGTCCAAAGCCAGGCTGGATGGGGGCTTGGAGCAAGCTGGGCTAGTGGGAGGTGTCCCTGTCCATGGCAGGGGGTGGGACTGGATGGGTTTTGAGGTCCCTTCCCACCCAAACCATTCCAGGATTCCATGATACCTGGAACACCCGTCCTCCTCCCGCAGGGGGCTCAGGCAACGTGGCAAGAGCTCCCAAACGCTGGAAGCCTCCACCCCATCCCAGACACTGCTGCTCCCTCTGCTCCCTGGCCAAACTCACTTGAACTCCAGGCACTTGGTGATCTCCTTCTGCAGGTGCATCACCTCGTAGAGCAGGTTCTGGAGCTGCAGGTGATACGCGTCCACCTTCTGCTTGGCCTGGAACACGGACACGGCCGGAGCAGGGATGGAGCTGTGCCTTCCAGGAGTCACCAACATCCTCCCCCTCACCACACCACCTTGGCACAGCTGCTTTTAGGCTAGGCAATGATCTTTTTGGGGGAAGAATGATGTTTTTACGGACTGGGGAAGTAAAGATTGTGACATGGGACTGATTTTTCTCCTTCCAGCAGGTTTCAAAGCCAAGGAACAGGACAGGCACATGGACTGAGTCCCCTCTCCAAGAACTCCAGAGCTTCCAGGGCAATCATACACCCCTTTATGCACCAGATGGGCCTTTCTGACCCCCCATTATGTTCAAGACAGAGGCAGACACCCCTCCTTCATGAACCATTACAACTACAGCTCCCCTGCGCCCAGCAGGAGTTTTCCAGGGTCGGATCTCTGGATAAACCACCAACCCAATCCCCGGGACCTGGCTGGTGTGTAACTCCTCACAGAGCAGAGAGAGCCCCACCTCCCCCTAAACCCCAGCCTGGATGCCCCCCTTTACCTCGTGGGTCTGGTCCCTGCCTTTCTTGAGGCGGATGTGGGCCAGGCGGTTCAGCTTCTTCAGGGTCATGAAGTGGACGCAGCTCTGGACGCGCCGCTCGTCGATCTCCGAGGCCTGGGGGGTGGGGAGGGGGGCTGGGATCAGCAGGGATGGCTGGAACCAGGGAGACCCTTCACTCAGGGAATTCCAGCGGGTCCCGGCACAAAACGGGCTCCACTTTGCCGAGGAGTCACGTTTGTGTCACTGGGGCTCCCCAGGGAGGCTCCTGCTGTTGGATCACAGGGACCCGCTGGAAAGAACTGGGAGGGGGGCCCAGGCTCCTCAGAAATCACTCCAGGGATTTTTCACAGTGGTAGGAACAGGGGTAGTTGAGCCTCAAGCACTCAGGTGTCCCAGGAGCCTGGGATAAGGGAGGCTGTTCCATTCCCAGGGCTCAATCCCTGTCCCAGGAGCCCAAAACAAGGGAGGCTGTTCCCACTTCCCTGCCCCAGTAGCCTGGGACAAGGGAGGCTCTTCCCATTTAGAGGAGTTCAATCCTGACACGGCAGCCTGGGACATGGGAAGCTCTTTCATCTTCGGGGCTCAATCCCTGCTCCAGGAGTCTGGGACAAGAGAGGCTGTTCCTTTTCCAGGGCTCAATCCCTGCCCTAGGAGGCCAGGGCAAGGGAGGCTGTTCCAACTGCAGAGGCTCCAACCCTGTCCCAGCAGCCCTTGGGAAGGATGGGAGGATGTTCCATTTCCAAGGCTCAATCCCTGCCCCAGGAACATGGGAAGCTGTTGCCTTTTCCTGACTCTCCCCAGGAGACATCACAGCTCCTGCTCCCATTCCTCTGGGATTAATGGGAAAACACCAAAGGACAGACCCACTCCACCACATGCCAAGGCCTCTCCTTACATTTTCCTTGATCCCCCGGCTCTTCAGCTCCTGGATCTCTGCCATGAGCCTCTGGAGCTCCTGGCAGGTCTCCCTGTAGAGCTCGTAGTCCTTGATGGGGTCCCGCAGATCCACCTCGCTCTCCTCACTGTAGTACCTGACATCCTGCAGAAACAACCACCACATTCCATGGCTCATTCCTCCCACTGGGAAGGGCTCTGGGAGACACAGCCCCTGGATCTGCCTGTGAATCCCATGGCTTTACACATGGAGAGGACTCAGGAATTCACAGTGGGAGTTT